GGAGGGATGCTCCGGTCCTCGCTCCCTCCCTCTCGGTTTGGGGAGGAGGGGGAAGGTGAGAAGAGGGAGAAATCACAAGATTCTTGGCAGCCTTTCAAAGATGTTGAGAGAATCCTTGGATTCTGACTGCCCTGTATTCTCGGTATGGTATGCCCTGTTCGCGGTTAACAATGGCCTCTGGCTTTACAGCGGAAGGCAAGAGAGGAGAGAGAAAGGGGGACACACAATAAGACTGGCAGACAAGGTACCAAGGAGGGGTGGGAAAAAAGAATCGCTGACATCAAACCCTCAACTAGGCAATGCCTAGACTGAGATTTAAACATAATACTAATATTAGCTCTAATTCTAATACTAATAACCTGCTTGCCATGTAAAGGGGAGAATGGGAGCAGGGGAGGAAATAAGGAAATATGTACTGTAAAGAGACTTTGTATCTCACAAAGGGTGGGTGGAGGCTATTGTGTGCACACTGTGTGCCTGTGCTTTGGAGAGATTGGCCAATGTTGCTCCCTGACAGTGTTAGTTAAGGAAAAAACAATATGCAAATGGAGACATGCTTCTCAACTACATGTCAAGTTATGCTAAGAAAGAATAATAAAGAATCGAACCCCAATCCACCACCTCCTTTTTTCATCCTATTCTCTTTCTTCCTTTTCTTCCTCTTTTTCTCTTCTGAGAATTATTTCAGTAAGCTACAGAAGAGGCCTTTCAAAATTCTGTTATCTCATCTGGTGCAACCTAAATGCCATATATAGAGAATATGACATCATGGTAGCTACCCTTCAAGGTAAGGTAACAAACATGGCAAAATGAGTGTGTTATAGTGCAAATTTCAGCATTTAAGGGGGTAGGAAATAGAAGGAGAGTCAAAGTTTTTATATTAAGCCAGAATGGTTGTAATTGGCTCTTTGTATGCTCTGGCAATGTGTGATTGAACAGGGAAGAATGTTAGGAAAGAAAAAGGTACATTTCTGGGAACCAGTCACATACTTTCTACATATGGAAAGGTACAAAACCATTTTTTTGTTGGGAGTTACTAAAGTAGAATAAAATATGGATTAAAAATATAAGAATGAAGACGTGGCATAAAAAGGATAGTTAGAAGCTTACTTAAAGGAAATATCATCAGCCTCTAAACCACAAGTTGTTCTAGCCAACGTCCCTATGTCAAAAGTCCAAACCACAAGGTTCAGATAAAGTTNTGCTGACTCTGTAAACCACTTAGAGAGGGCTGAAAGCCCTATGAAGCGGTATATAAGTCTAACTGCTATTGCTATTGCTATTGCTGTATTGTGGCCTGGAGTCATTTTTAAAATAAAAACTCTTGTTTTCTAATTCCAGGAAATTATAGCTTTTACAAGGCATGCTGTACACACTGATATTTAAAAATAGATGTGTGCTGCAATATTCTTTCTTTACATGTTCTTGGTTGAAATGAGTTTGTTTCCACATTAGACATATACTAACCTGAGGTATTGGGTGAGAAAGTAATAAAAAATCTAAGCCAGCAACAATGTATAAGACTGCTGCCCTCAGAAATTTGACCAGAATATATTTTCCTATTACATTATATTTGAAGATAGACGCATTATATTTTTTATGCAATCTTTATGCAAAACTTGTATAAGAACTAAATAATGCTATCTTATATTTCCCTACTATACATTATGAAAGTTTTTATAAAAATGCAGTACTCGGAATGATCTTTAAAAGAAAATAGGTCATGTGACGTTTGGTCCTTGGTAATCATATCTATACAATCTTACTTATGTTACTGAAATAGTTCCCAGTGCCTTCCAAATAGCTTTTTCTTTTTCAATTCTCCATCCAGCCAATAGCCCTAAGATTTTCAGATGGATTCCATCCAACTACGATACAAGACTACCCTACTTATCTTTTGAGAACTGTCAAGACTCTCCTAGACACCACTAGCTGAAATTCTTTAGCCAATAGGATCCATAATATGCTCTACTTGCCAGACTGGGAGGGATGGGTCAACTTAATAAGGATAAGATGGTTTCTCAGGTAACCCGGGCCCATGTCTTCAAGGACTTTCAAGGCCATAACCAACACCTTGGATTCAGTGATGAGATATGACGGGGTGTACTGGTGCCTACTAGGAGCACCAGATACTGTTCCGGTACGGTGCTCCGGAGAGCCCACCCACCTGCCTGCGCTCCTTACCTGTATTTGAGCTGTTCGGGGCTTACATGCATGGAGCGTACGGCGCCTGCGCAACACTCCGCCGAGCAGCTGGAGTGTTGCAGAGGCGTCGCAGGCAGTAAGTATGCATGCACACTGCATGCGTTCATGTGATGGATGCCCAGTCCCGTTGCACCATACCAGTTGCACCGGGATCCGGAACCCACCACTGCTTGAATTGGACCCAGAAGCAAACTGGCACCCAATGCAGGTCATGAGGCAGAAGTGTTACATTGGCAGCCCTAGAGATGCCAGTAATTGCCCACACTGCTACATTCAGCACCAACTGCAGCTTTCATATACTTTTTCAGGATAGCCTCAAGTAGAGCAGGTTGCAATAATCTATAATACAGGTGCATATTTAACTCCTGGAGCATAAAATGTATTTCTCAGTTTTCTATGATTTCTACTTTCGTATGTACTCATAACAACCTAAATAACAGCAATTTATAACTTCTGGCATATATTTTAGACCTTTCATA